GTTGTAGCACTTCCTCCCAGTTATGTTTCAACAGCTGGTAAATTGGAAATGAACTTGTGGGTTTAAGGGCTTATAGTCTTTTCCCTGTAGGAGGATAGCCAAAACAACCCAAATCCACAAACCCAAAACAACTTTTATTATTGGTTCCTTTTTGCTGAATGCCCTTCTCAGAGAAAAACAGAAATGAAAACAACTTCTCTTCAATTATTGCTCACCCAAGAACATGTTGCTTCACCATGCAACAAATGGCATTAGAAAATTGACAACTAGTTATTCCCAGTTCGCTACGTGCTACATCTACCTGATGCTGCTACTGTACAAACATGCTGAGACACTTCCCATTGCTACAGAGATTTGAAAGATAAAAGCTATGAACCCATGACCAATGATCTTTGAAGTACAGCTGATCATATCTGTTTGTGATGCAAGATGTTTTATGGGAAATTTATATACAAGAAGCATAATAACAAAAGGTTGCAATTTTGTCTCATTGATGCTCTAAATTTTTTTGAGCAAAATATCAAATTTAAACTGGGACATTTTCTGGTTGTATTTATATAGAACCAAGTTCTTGTTTATCAGGACACCCTGCTAGTGAAAACCTAGACAATGGAGTCAAATGCCAAAACTTAGTTAGACTACTAATTTCCAGGAGCACACACACAGTCAAGACTTCCAGAGCCCTATGAAACTGTGATCTCGCCTTCCCATTCTAGCCTTTTATATATCTGACCTATATAACACTTCTGGTGAAAGCCTTGTGGGATCACACCATTTCAAAAACCTAGGTGGCAACTCTTAATATTTTTCTCTTTCTTAAATTGAACAATAATTCTTAAATCCAAGTTTCCTTGGGATAGTTGTTGGAAAGACCTCATGGCTTTACACAGTAACACCAGGAGTCAAACACTAAGTGGCTTTGTTTTAGTTTCTCTATCTCACTTACCTAGATTTTTCTGATGTACCAAGCCCAGGACGTGTGCAGTGATGGAGATCCAGGAAAATTTTCCTGCTGCCTACCTCAGCTGGAGTCCATGGAGACAAATGGACCATCAAGTCTCTCCTAAACTTGTGGCACGGGTGGGTGTTTCCCCCTAATTTCCCTTGTCACTGGAGGGTGATGACAGCTTGGGTGTCATGGCCAGCTCTGATCCCTCTGCTGCTGTAATATGAGAGGCAGCTATGTTAGCAAACTAACTTGCTGCAGACATTGCTGCTACTTGAGCATAACAAATGGGGCTCAGGGCAAGTGTGCAGCAAACACTTTGCAAACACTGAGCTCTGCCAGTTCACTGTCTGCCCCTGCCCACAGCACTGCACAGTCAGGAACAGCTTACAAAGAGAAGGGGACAGACGATAAAAGGGACTAAAGAGGCAATAACTAAAAGACTGGCTATCCCACGTTGAAATGTTCAATTAATAATTTTCCAAGTCAAGGAAACTTGATCTATGACAACTCTTCACCTGAGACTTAAATTACTTAAATTTCTCCCATTTTTTTGATGTACCACAGAATGTACAGCTGTCAGAATGTATGTTGAAGAACACAACATTACAGCTGTAACTGCTCTTGTATTCTGAGCTTATTCCTTGCCTAAAAAATTCAAATAAACATATTTTGAATCTCACTGTGAAGAAAATCCCAACACTTCAGTGTACTAAGTATGTAACTGAACTGAAAACATTTTACTGTACCCTGACCACACCCTGAGCTCCTCCGCTTAGAGTGGTGCTTTGGAAGGACTGTTATGCTACCTTTTAAAGCGAAAAATTAAAACAGAGTCAGATGTCTTGGAAGAATAAAAGCAGTGCTACTTATTGACACAAATGCAGAGCACTAAAGGCTGCAACCTAAAGCAACATAAAATGCCCAGCAGATTTTAACTTATACTATCCCCTCCTTTATCTGATTTCTACTTAGGACTTGATAGTTTAAAGAACATATGAAATCCGTCACAGTCATACAGACAGATCAGAAATTTAACATTAGGAAATAAAAGGATATTTAATGATTTGTATCACCTTTCAGCCATACAGATGATCAGAATAAAAAGCAAAAGGAACTAGTGAGAGTGCTACTGTTCCTAACATCAGATATTGAGCTTTTTCCAAGAGGGGCCAATGGTAATGGAAAAATTAGGAGAATAAATGGAATGGAATCTGCAGAAAATTGCAGAACAAGGGGGAAAAAGTCACAACTTTCTAAAATTGAAGTGACTACATACTCTTACGGAAATACCTCAGGATTTTCATATTACTCTAAAAGGCACTACTTACTGTGAAAAAGTCAGTATTTTAACAATTATGATTAAAGAACAAATATACAAACACGACACTAAAAAATTTACAATTACCTTTAGAGCAACAGATTTCACTTCATCACTTCTCAAAATCAAGTGAAGGAAACATTATTTATTTTTTCCAGGTAATACCAAGTGGGACACTGTCAATGGAAATTTCTACTCAAAGGAGAAGTATTTGCTCATTTGCTTTCTTTTCCTTTCTCTTTGTTTTGATTTTCTCCTTTTTTTTTTTTTTTCCTTTAGGAAAGCTATAATCAAATAAAAATATGTAGCATACTGGTAAGTCTGTCTTGTATATAAAATCAATTACACAGTTCATGAATCCAGTAATGGGAAACATATTACCTCTGACTTGGAGAAATTCAGGCCCCCATGGAAACAACAGGGCAGCTCTTGCTGTGGCAAGACCTGGAGCTGCCAAGCCAGGCACTGGCTCTGCAGCAGCTCAGGTCTACAGCCATTTTAACCCAAAGGGAAAGTTCCTAGAGGACAAGATAGAAAAGATGCTCACCTGGAGATGGGCTTCAACGTCCTGCACCTGATTCTTGTCTTTGCCAGGAAGGTTTGAATTCCCTCACTGATCCTGTCAATCCCTTCTCTGTTGACACCATTAACAAGATCAAAGCTTCAGCTGCTTAACTGCTGTTGCTGATTACATACAGCAAGATTAATCCTTATATATTGTATCTTACCTAGAAATAATTTTACAAAAACAGGACATTCTCCTCTCTTTGTGACTTTCACAACTAGGTAGTCTTCTCAAAAGCAGGTATTAACCCTTAACATGTAGCAACTTTGCAGTACAGATTTCTTGCAAAAATCGTATGCAAAACATGAAAATATGTTAAATTAGCCCCCTTTTTTTCCCCCAAAAAGGATTTTCTTCTTTGTATTTTAACAGACTTGTTCCTCAAGAATTCCTTAGAAAACCTTCACTTTTGTTTTTTTGTTTTGGTTTTTTTTAAGTTTTTATTTTCCTTCTATTCTTTTTGCCTGAGTTTGTACTGACCAAATTGAAGAAGGAAAAGGCTGAAAAAGAAAATCTTGGTTTTCCTATGACTTAATTCTTTTTACTTATGTCAAAAAGGCAAACAACAGCAACAAAAAGTAACCCATCTCACACATGCTAAAAAGTGACCAATCTAATTCTTCTTGGAGATACTTAAGAACATCTTGCTAAAGAACCATCACACAACTCAGTATATGATACTAATTGTTTTTGCAATCTAACACTTAAAATTATAATATTTTTATAGTAGCTACCAGCAAATTAAAGTTCTTTGGACCTAGAAATAAACTGTTTCAATAAATTGTAACAAAATCTCTACAAATGAGGAGAGGAAATATTCTTTACTCAGCTTTACAATGCTTATTTCAACAACATTTGTCTTAGAATATACTTGATTTGTATGAAAAAATGATTTGTGGAATGCAACTGGCAAAGTCTCCAAGTTTCTCCTACCTCTCAGGAAGCAAAGAGTGCATGAAGGCTTAGGATGCTTTTACACATAGCAGATTGCCACAAACAAGAGAATTATTCAGAATTATTCATAATTACACTTCTCCAAAATCTGCAGGAACTCTATAAAGATGTCCCAGTTCATTTTACAAAACACTGACAGGTCCAAAATGAATCTGAAGAGATTGCTAATGCCAGAGCCTTAATATTAACTGCTGATAACCCGGGAATTCCACATGTATTCAGCCTCTGAAGTTACAGTTCTACTGTCCTTGTAGATAAGAATTTCTTAGTTATCTGGCTGTACAAGAGGGCCTGTGGGAACTCTTTTGAAGAGTCTTCTGCAGCAAACAACTCACTCTGCTAACATGAAGAATTTGTTACTTGGTTTTAAAGCACTATTTTTCCCAGTACTTGTGAACAGTATTAAGAAAAAAAAAAAAAAAAAAAAAAAAAAAAAAAAAAAAAAAAAAAAAAAAAAAAAAAAAAAAAAAAAAAAAAGGTATTCAAGTGATACGAAGAAACCCAGGGCATCTGATTCAGCAGGAAGACAGAAGACACACTGTGGGAACCAGCTATTCACCAGGAAATCAAACACATGTAAATTCAACAATTCTAGCTGCTCAAGCCACCCTGTTCAGATGTCTTTCCACTTGCCTTGCCAGCCACAGTGATGAGTATGGATACAGTACTTAAAACTAAATTGCTCAAAATTTTCGCTTCAGCGTTGTTTCGTGCAACCAGATGAAATAAATCCTCCTCAGTCTCATACAGGAATACTGAGTGCTGACAGATTTCCACAGTTCTCTACCCACACACTTTGGCATCTCAAGAATCAATTCAAGTTAATGAGTTTCATACAGTAATGAAAAAGCTGCAAATAAAATGAGACAAAATTGTGTTACAACAAAATGCGGAATTACGATACGAATGAAGCAAGCCTGGATACAATCAGCAGTCAATTAGAATGACAAATTCTGTGCGGTTTCAAATTAAATAATTTTAATGGAGCCTTGTAGGTTAGATACAGAAATACAGTTGCAGACAGCCAAGAGTTTGATTGCAAGTGTCCAGGACTTCCAGCCACTGCTACTAATATCTAAGGATGTCATTAACAAAGAAAAGTTTGCTTAAAGCTTCTTTGTTTAAATGAGGTTAAAATTTTTCCAAAGTTCTTGTGTCTTCATTTTTTTTTTATTTTCAAGCTGTTTTACATCAGAATGTCTTTGAGATTTTTTTTTTTCCTACTAACATATTTTCAACAAAATTGGGAAAACAACACATGAAGACATTAAAGTTGTTTTTCCTGATTTTGCTTACTGGCCAGGTACAAAGTCTGGAGTTTGTACACGTACAAACTCAGCACTTTGGATCCACCCTTCTCACTGAGGCCCTATTTAGCTGTCAGTTTCTCCATGGACATTTTCCATGTGGACTTTGAGGTAGTCATTCCTTGTAAACTTCTTGTGGCAGAGCTGGCACTCTGCCATGGGGCGGTTGGGGTTGTGAGTCAGCTTGTGTCGGATCAGCATCTTCTTCAGGCTGAAGGACAGGTCACAAACCTGAGGCAGTGAAGACAAGACAAAGTCAAACCAAGTATTAAAATCTCAAGCATGTATAACACTCCTAAGGTTACATCACTGAGGCCACAGCCACACATACCTGCAGTACTTAATAAATGAGCCGGTCTTTGGAAGAAAAATTCCTTCAGAGAGTACCTGAAAGATTTTTACTCTGCCTGGCATCTTTTTATATTGTATATTAGGAGTGGTACCACATGCACAAGGATGCTGTCTGTCTAAAAAATACTTAATCTTCAAAATACCCACACACTGAAGTGTCCTGGTAACATTGTGGTGCTTTGTTCAGGTTTTTTTAAAGCTATTGTTCCATCTGGGATGCAGCAAAAATTGTGACAAAACATCATGAGCATCCATCAGTTCAAATGAAGTATTTCCTTCCTGACCTCCAGAATGACAACTGCAGCTTCCAAAATAATCAGTTCCAATTGCTCAGTTACAAAGAGGGAGAAGTGAGAATGAAGGGGTTCTGAAGACTGCAAGAAAGGTTAATTACTAATGTAAATGAAACCTCGTTGTTCCAGCCTTTCTCTGCCTGGCCAAGAAAACGGCAGACATCTGGTAAATGAAGGTGGAATTCCTTTGCATTATTATCTGCTGTGCTGCTTTCCTCCATTGTACTCCAAGCAGTCCAATTCATTCTGCCACGGGAATAGATGGATAGAGGCACAAGGGACTCTTGCCCATACTAAAGCCACTCCTTTATAAAAACCCCTGTACTGAAGTTAAAAATGAAAAACACAGAAGGTTAAAAGAACAAGTTCAGAAAAGAAAAGTTAGAATTAAAAGTTAAGGCAAGACACCAACTCAACTGAAACTGTGCCATTATACTGTCACACTCACCTACCATGCAAGGAAACATTGTAACATGAATTTGACAGGGAAATAAAGAAAAAAAAAAGGAAGCAGCTACTGATTTGACAAATGAAATAGATAAGAGTCATATAATTAAACAAGAATGAACATCTATGGGCTTGCACTCTTAAAATTCCATGTTCATTCCAGACAATATCTATTTCATGCAGAAAAAAACTCAAAGGACAATCCCTCTGGAGAAAAACAAAGCTTTAAATTTATATTGGCACCAAACTACTGCAAATGCTGAATGATGACTTGTTCCTTTTGAAACCACAAGAGCTCACTATACAAGTAGATCATCTTGAACACCAAATGGATTTTATGCCAATCAAGGCTAAACCATTAAATAACCATAAAATGGCAATGGCCAGAGGCAGGTTTTGTACCCAAAATAATTTCTCCCCACACTGTGTGTGCTGCTGCACGAAAACATTTTGTGACTTTACGACATGACGTAATGCTGAAGACCTCCATACAGCAACTGCAGCTCTCCAGCTTTTCCCCCAGCGAATAATCTCTGAATAAACCTCTTTGAGGCCCAAGCAACAGCCACCCTCTTTGTTACTGACAGTGAACCTCAATTCCAGCACCCACTGGTCAGCTCTGAGCACTGCCTTTGTCAAACCCAGGTTTCTGCTTCCCCTCCACAGAGCACACAAAGGGAACCCATAACATTTATCTAATCACAGCCACAAATCCCAGTGTGTCAAAAGTGTCACACACTCGTAAATACTCCATGTTTCTTGAGAGTCAGGAAGCCAATCGGGGATATACACATATGCAAGATGTGTGTGTGTTCTGTGTATCTTACACACATCTCCTCATTTCTAAAATAAACAGCTTATAACACAGCCTCAAGGTACATTTTTTCATTTATTCTGATCATGTGACCAATGAAATGTTTCTTTCTGTCCCTCTAAGGCTCTAAGACATTGTGCTACCTTCCTTCTTAAAAAAAACACATGGAATGCACAGGATTATTAAAAGTATGGCACATCCTGTGCTGTTCTCATGCAGAAAAGTTTGCGGGATTTTTTTTTAAGAGTTTGCTTCGTATATCAATTTCATAAGCAAGACTGATATTTTACAGATTTACAACCACTCTTGCTTGTGTGCACTTGAGCTCTTATCAATCTCTTCAAAATGATCAAAGTTTAGGCCAGGTAGGGAGGATGGAAAGACTGACATTTGAAAGAAAGTATAAGGTCAACTAGAGGCAGAGTGGAAGGAAATACTGTACTGGAAAGAAACCAGGACCAGCAGTACTTGACCTTTCTGCCCCCCAAAAATAATCTATTGTCTCTGAGAAACTGAAGTTCAATTGGCCTTCCAGTAAAAAAACCAGGCTGGTCTGAAGAGGACAGACATCTAATTTTCTATGAAGAACTGCATTTCTATTTCCATATTTCAGTTATTTTCACTTTCCTAGGTGACATATATTAGAATTGTCATCTTAAAATGGGACTATTCAATTTCCACTATGATCTGTGGGATGTGAGAGCTTTGAGATATTAAGGTCTGAAAATGCTTTTGCTGACTGATAAGACACAGGAATAGACACATATATAAACTGTAGCACCTTCCTCAAACAGAGTACAAGGATTAGTTTCACATGTAACTCAATACTGCAATGTAATGACTGTTCCATCTGCCTGAGAAAGAGGAGAGTGAGACAGGAAGAGAAGATATGATTTTTATTTCTGACTTTGGAAAAAAAAAAAAATCTATTTAAAGCAAAAATATAGACTAAAAGAATTCGTATGCGGTATTCCAGAGATAAGAACTCGTGGAAGTCATGGTCATTGTAGGTGAAAATTTTGTTGTCGGTGAACTTACTCAAATGTAAAAAGGAAATTTAGTATTGGGTAGCCCACAACAGATGTCCCCCATAGGGACATTTTCCTGTAATTGTCCACTACTGGCTTTCCTGCAAATTCTACATAAACATCTGGAATCATGCAATGTGCAAGACAGCTCTGGAGGAATGGGCTGCCCTGGGTGACATTTACTGTGTCCCCAGCATGTGCAGAACAGAAGCCCAGGTAAAATAAGGAGAAATTACTGAAAACATCAATTTTAACCCTCTTGAAGTGTGCATTAAGCAACAGACCATGGTGGGCACCTGGGTGAGTGGAACATGCAGGAATGAACAGTGAAGGCAAATGCTGTTATGTCCAAACCCCAACAGATCAGCAGCCTCTGGCAGTGTGTAGTCAGCAAAAGGCTCCTTCTGAAGAGTGATTTTGGTGTAACAAGGCAGAAACTTGAAGTACAAAAAAATATGACCAGTAAGTGAAAGCACACTTGAAAAAATTCTCAAGCAGTTCTCAATTCTCAAGAACTAGGACTAGACACAGATTACAGCTGTTTAAGTACAGCTCTAATTGATTCATGAGGAAAATTGAAGGAAAAGCTGAAACGGGGAAGTATGCTTTCATACTGCTCCTATTTCTAATTAAAGCAAGGAAAAAGAATAAAATAGAACCACCATACCAAGTTAGTCTGCAAAAGCACACTCTGAATCCAAGATCAGCAAATCTTGGATCCACAGTGTGGGAAAAACAGCATTTACACTGCAAGCTGGCCAAGAGCTGATAAACAGTATAACAATCTGAAAGCTGAAAAAGTTATTGACAATATTTGGAGTTAGAGAAATCCTCAAGGTACTATCCAGAGCCAGGCTGAGATTATCCCAAAAGAATACAGCAAATCTCCTAACTTGTAGTCATCAGCAAAATATCTTGGTTGACCTTCTTAATGAAATTAATATATTTTATTCTCAATGAAATTACATCAGATCATTCATTAAAAACCACAACAGTTAACAGACCCCTGAAACTTTCCTGCCAAGATGTTATTCTAATTTTGCATCTAAATATATAAATTTCTGAGCAAATTTACAGCTGCTCAGAATGAGCCATAATTGAGAGCTGGCATTTCCCTGTGACTGCCTCATGAAGAGTCAGTATCACAAAACAAAACACCTACACTAATTCTACATCCATTCTGATACCTTCCTTTGGATCATTGAGCAACAATTTTGACATTTGATAGCTCTAAAAGACATTATTCCTCAATAGTTTCTGCACATTCAGCCTTCCCACCTAGCTCCCAAAAGCTAAGAGATGTTGCACATACAAGAGGGGCAGGCTGCATGAAGGGTACCTGACAGTGATCTATGAACTGTCACAGGATATGCTGCATTTTAGCCCTGCAAGCATGCACAGCATCCCAGACTTCCTCACTGAGCAACAAGAGGCTGTAAGCAGATGTTGAAAATATCAGACCAGATTTCACCAGAAACAGTCAATTCTGAATTCATATTCATGTCATTCAACATCAAAAGCATTAAGATTCCATGTAATAAATGAAATCCCTTTTCCCACACAAGCTAATCTCTGACTATTAACCTGTCATACAATTCATACAGGAACCCAACCAGTATGAATTTGTAAAAAGCAACATCCAAATTGCATTATTAATGGTGCAAATAACTCTTATGGGGTCCAAAACCATAAAATGAATGGGTGTGCTTGGCTCTTGGCAAGCAAAGAGGGTACATGAAATTCCCTCAACAGTGTTTCATTCCCTGGGCAATCTAAGCCCATCTGAAGTGTAACTATGCCACAAGCAGGAAGTATAAGGCCACAGTATCCCTGCAATTAAGTCCTGCTGCTGCACTGAGGCTGAGAAGACAAAGGGAAAGGAGGAGAGGAACTCACATCACATTGGAAGGGCTTCTCCCCGGTGTGGGTCCTCATGTGCTCATCCAGGCCTCTCTTCTGACTGAAAGCCTTGTTACACTCCGAGCACTGGTACGGCTTTTCCTGCATGCAGTGACAACAGAGAGTGAAAGTGAGTCAACACAGAGCCCAGGTCATTAAAGGAGTGGAATTCCATGCTGGATGGTGCAAGTTTTATATTCTCTCTAAGGTATTACAGTCAGTGAAAACAACAGAAAATGACTTTCAAATGATTAAGTGAAAGCTGGGAAAGCTGCGGCCTGACAGTTTCCACTTCAGCACCCACTTATGAATTAATTATCTGTTCCAGTCTTTCAAACCCAGCCATTTGGGGAGTCTGCTTTTTGTCACCTGAAAGGTACAGAAACATAAAATTCCAATGTTCTTTCCTTTATCCTCCACAAATGCTTAAAACATACAGACAAGTAAGATTATCCACAAAAACTTCGAGTTTGTTTGGAGTTTTCCAAGCAGGGGTAGAGATATAGGGAGGAAGAGAAGGTACAAGAAAAGCTTGTGGTAGCAGAAAAACTTACTTTGAAAAGTGGTGACAGAAGGTTAATCACATATTCATTGCAGAATCTCAAAAGAAGTACAGATGGCAACCAAACCATCTGTATTTTTATTAGAACTATTGGTTAGCAGCTACTGTAAAACATGATGTTAGAAAAGTTGCAATCTCACTGACCTGAAACAAGTAATTAGAGATAAATAAGGAAACCCACTTATGTAAAGATCCTTTCTCTGATGTTTTTCCTTCATATAGAAATTTATAGAGGTGGAATTCTGCCTTAATTCCACTGAAGTTACAAAAGAACTGTATAGAAATCAATTAAAATGCAAGACCAAAAAAAAACAATAAAAACAACCAATCAATTAAATGCAAGAATTAGCATCATGGCACTACACATGGCCTCATTAAAATTTTCACCTTCTAGAGGCACCCTTATTTTTGCACCAATAGACTTTCTTCACTCTCATTCTACTTTTTACTGTGGTCTCTAATTCTGTACTGCTTAAGTTCTGAAGAAAAGTATTTTAAGAAAAGTAAATACTTTTTACTAAATTAAATTGAAAGCAATGACTATAAATCAATAGGCAAAAAAAAAAAAGGCAGCTAGATCTATGAATTAACAAATAATAGGCAGTAATTAAGTTCTTTGGAGAGATGATGTAGGATCCAAGGATAAGCGAGATGGAACAGCCCAGGCATTGAAGCAACAAAGAGAATAAACTGTCTGGTTATTGAATCCCTACTCTCAGCTGCTGAAAACCACCAGGTCTCCATATATTGCTGAATCCTGCCAGGATTCACCAGCATTCACCATATACCTAACACAGTGCACTATCAATTAGTGCTGGGTATGTCCCAGTCTCTCTCCTTAAGGCATGTCCAGAGACCTCAGTGGGGCAAAGACGGGTTCTTTCATTTTGCAGACTCCTCCCATCAAGATTCCTAGAAAAGGCACTGTTATTTCCATGATTCTTCAGTAGACAGGAAAACTTAACAAATTGCCTAAAAGAGATCTTAATATATCTGTGAAAGAAAAAAACCAATTAACATCTATAAGTTCATGTCACAGGGAGTTTTGCTGACCTGACTAAAGGCTTCATGGAGCAAAGTCTGCATTTTTAAGGGAAAAGTACAAATAAGCCATGTGAAAAGCAGGTTTCTGCAACAACCCCTTAATTGGTTTTGCATTGTGGTTAACACAAACCACATTTCTGTGAGTTCTCCAAAAGCAGCCTTTCTCTGTGGAGATCCCCAGAAAGTGCAAAGTGAACTATACGATGTGCACATCTTAAACACCTACAAAAGCATTCACTACTGCAAACTGCACCAGGTGGTCTCACTCCCTTTTTATTATCTTGGTCTTCAGCTATCTGAAGAATTGACTTGATAATGACCAGGTCAATCATTCCAGTGCTAAATGGATTTCAGGATTCCATTTTGAACAAAGAACCATTTTAAACTCTGAGAAGCTGGAGTCAAAAACCTGGGCTGTATTATCTTCCCCCAGGTTAAGTTTGGCTGTTCTATATTTTATATTTGTATTATTCTCTGTGGCAAAAATGGTGAATCTAACATCCCCTTGGCATTTGTATTGCAATTCACATCTGTAGTGCATGAAACACATCCAAAGCTGTCTTTGATCTAATTTTAGATCCCTTCCATCTGTATATTCCAGTGACTTCAGCAGACATGACCGATTCACACCAGCTTCCTCTCTCCTGTGTGAAGCTGCCCTCCATTCACTGCTGAAAAGCTGCCCTGTTTCAGGAAAACCAGTAGTGCTGCCCAGAGCAAAACCTGGCCCTCAGTTAATCTCCAGAGAAAAAAACTTTTTTTGTTGTTGATTTTGTGGAAGACATCATCCTCACAGATCAATTTCTTCAAAACAAAACATTCTGCGCTTTTCCTTTTCTCTCTGCTTCTTCTCCCCCTTGTGTCAAATTTCCATTGCACAATGCTTGGAGAAAGCAACACTTGTAACATGGAAAATGTGATGTTTGCTTGGCATAATCATCACTGCATTAAATGTGAGCAGAGT